CCTCATCTAGCTTACCTTTCCTGAAATTAGCAGTGTAATAACTGGATATTTTTTTTTTGCAAGATCTGTTTTTCAGTCTTTTTTTCCCTTCCTATTTTTACAAAAACTATGATGTCCTCTTAGAGAGTAAGTAAACCAAAACTTTATTATCCATCTTCTGTCTAGTACATAGATTTATTGTTTGTTTTGCCATGTCATGAGTGTGATAGAAAAAAAACCCTGTTCTTCATTTCACTCTTGGATGCCACTGTAACTATTCAGTGTTCTGTTCCTAAAACACAAAGTTCTGCAAAAAGGAGGTTATGGTTATAACCTTATTTGAGTGTGTCTCGTTTCTCCAATCCATTGCAACTGCCATTTCTTAGTTAGGTTACACAAATAGCAGAATTAAATTGCAGAATGGACTGTGCTATTTCAGACTGCAGATGGGGGAACACCATTCTGAAACGCTCCCTCACTTAACCCCCCCCCAAAGAAAAACTCACTTCAAATAGAAAGTACTGTATAAATAAGAAACCTTTATCCCATCCCTTTGCCTTTTGGGCTCATATTCTGCTTAAAATGTGTTAAAATAAGTGAGCATTCAAAAACATGATATCCCAGCAACAATTAAGTCCTACGGTCCATTCTGCCATATTCTGCTGTATGCGTAGACTCTATTCAACATTTCGCAAGCTTTTGAGTTGGACCTCCCTGCGCAGGTAGACTAGAGAAGACACGAGAATGTTGCCAACTGAATTCTCCATCTTCAGTTTTCCCCAACTTCAGTTAGGAAGCCTGTAGCTACCCAAGCTTGAGATCTTCCTTTAGATTACAAGCAGGGATGGCATGATTCAGTTGATCTTATACACACACACACTCTCGTACCTTCGTTCTTGAACGGAATCCATTCCGGAAGTCCGTTCGACTTCCGAAAACATTTGAAAACCAAGGCGCGGCTTCTGATTGGCTGCAGGAGCTTCCTGCACTCAATCGGAAGCAGCATCGGACGTTCGGGTTCCAAAGAACGTTCACAAACCAGAACACTCACTTCCGGGTTTGCAGCGTTGGGGAGCCAAAACGTTTGAGTCGCAAGGCGTTCGACAACCAAGATACGACTGTAGATAGTGTACAAACTGGTGTGGAATGTAGCTAAAAAGCTGAGCTACAGATCTGAATCAACAGTTTGAATCTTGCTTTTGCCATGTTCAGATGGCCTTTACCCCCAACCCCAATTGCTCAGCCCTAGCTTTCCATGCCATCTTCAGTATGGGGTTTGGTCGTACTCACCTGTTTTAAAAGCTCGCTGTAAGCCTTGGAGGCTTGTTGTAGCGGGCAGGGCAGGCGGAGGTAGAGGAGGAGGGCGAAAGGGGCAAGAACCAAAAGAAGTGGAGAGAGAGAAAGTTAGGAGCATTTGCAAGCTATTTGTTCAGATCTCTATCAAGAGCAATCTTGTCACTTGACTGGCAGCTGCTCCCTTGGGGGTGGAGGGAGGAGAAAGAGGGGGAGCATGGCCCTATTCACTGCTGGTATGTGGCCCTTAAAGAAATGTGACTCTCTTTTTAAAAAGATGCATTTGCTGGGGGGTTTTGTTTACATACACGTTAGGTAAAGCGTATATTTGTAACGATAAAACAACAGTAGCAAAATAAGCCAAACACATGAGAGACAAGGAGAATAGTGGTAAGAAAAGCAAACGAAAGGATTCAAAGAAAACTACCCATCTGTTCTCACATGTACAAATAATTGCTTTCAATTGGTGACTCTTGGCAGAAGGTTTCCATGCTTCTGGCCAAGAAAAAAAGCAATAGCACAACGTAGCCAGGGTGCTCAAAGAATCTGTTGCAATGTTTGCATGTTTAGCATTATCACCTTCCTTCTGTCTTTCCATAGCTCCACCTGATGATGTTCCTGTCTGTAAAACTTACCTTCATGTGTTTCAGGTATGCTTTAAGCATTTTTTTTTAACTTCCCAACTTTCCAGGCTGACAACAGAAAACGTTACAAAGAAGAAAATAATGATAATCTGGATGACTTCAAAGCAGCGGAACTTGCGTGGCACAAACACAAACTGCTCAATGAATCGATTATCGTTGCTCTCTTCCAAGGCCAGTTCAAATCCACAGTTCAGTGTCTTACGTGTCACAAAAAGTCTCGGACCTTTGAGGCTTTTATGCATTTGTCCTTGCCACTTGCATCTACCAGTAAATGCACCCTACAGGTTAGTCAGATGAGTGACTTTAGGTCACTAGTTAACAATGCTTAACTTTCCCAGTTTTTCTTTCAACAAAACTGTTCCTATAAATCCTCGCCTCTGCTCTAAACCTTTGAATTCAGGTTGTGTTTTGTTTTTGCTCCCCCCCCCCAGGAATGCCTTAGATTATTCTCCAAAGAAGAAAAACTGACGGATAACAATAGATTTCATTGTAGTCATTGCAAAACCCGAAGAGATTCTTTGAAAAAATTAGAAATCTGGAAGCTGCCTCCTGTTTTGTTAGTGCACTTGAAGCGGTAAGACTCAAAAGTAACTGTACAGATTATTTAGCCTTCCTAAAAGCTCTAAGGTGATTTTTTTTGTTTAATATAACATAAGAAGCTGCTTCATATTGTCCATTTGGTTCAGTTGCAGCTCTCTGGGGTGTCAGAGACATTCCAGGCCCTACCTGGTGCTGCTGCAGAATTGAACCGGGGAACTTTTGCATGAAAAGAAGTACTCTAGCACTGAGCTGTGTATAATGTTGAGAAATGTAGTCTCTGAAATATATATTTGCATGGGGTAGTGTTGGAGGATGCATAACATACGTATTTTGAGGTCAGAAATGTAATGTGTTCAGAGTCTCTTATGGGCTTATTTTACATTTTGGTGGATAACTCTGGTTCGCAGGCCAGTCTTGTCTGCCAGGGGGTCAAATTCAGCCCAGAATGCCATTTCTCAAAACCCACACCTAGTCAGCTGACATCCCTCCTATGGTGATGACAACTAATGGGTGGGGTGAATTCTATCTTAGCTGCTCTCCTGGGAACAGGCACATGCAGCCAAAGCACAGTGCAGGGCTATTTGAAAGCGCTTTTGCAAACAGTTTTACATTGCTCTTTAAAACTCCCACAGGGCTTCTTGCAAAAGAACTTTCAACTAGTTTATACTTTAAAGTCCTGACAACTGGAGCTTCAATGCACAGAATCATAGTGGTGTTGGGTGATTGACTGGTGGGCAGCTCCACCCACTTGTCAAATTTCACCCAGCGCAGGTGGGGGGATAAATATTTGGCCTGCCGGCTAGAAAACATTCCTTGCCCCTGCTTTGCATGTTACATTGGCAGTATGGCCTGAAGCAATTGGTTTCCTGCTGCCCAAATTAATTAAACCAAGGAGTTAATTATATCCAGGGAACTCCTTAAACAAAAGCAAGAGATTTTCAGGATGTGATATTCCTCCTAAGCCATCCCGCTATTTGGTCATATAAGCACCTAATTGGTCTGTGAGGTGACACTTTGGGAAATTTTACTTTAATTTTATTTATAAGATTTATATACCACCCATCAGAAGAAGATCTCAGAGCGGTTCACAAGATGAAAAACACAAAACAGAAGCAACAAAACAGTACGGTGGCATAGCATGTGCAATGAACAGCAGTGTGGAAATCCTTGCTTTAGTTTTTTCCGTAATACCTTTTCAGCTTTCAATGTAATTCTTAATGCTTTTCATGCCTAGGTTTTCTTACGATGGACGGTGGAAGCAAAAGCTTCAGTCATCAGTGGACTTCCCATTGGAAAACCTTGACTTATCGCAATATGTTATTGGCCCAAAGAGTAACTTGAAGAGATATAACCTGTTTGCAGTATCTGTAAGTAATTTTGTGTAGCTATGAATCTTACCTGCCAGTTAATCTGTATCTAACATCACCAGTTAAGCAACCATGTGCATTGTAGTGTTGTTTATTAACATTTCCCCCTTGAAGGCTTTATCTTTTCGGTTGGGAGTAGTTTATGCCTTGATTTTTGAGTACTGGGAAGTATTCGGGCCAAATAACATTTTGCAGTCCCCTAATTTCATTCCTGTTCTGTCTAGAATCATTACGGAGGGCTGGATGGAGGACATTACACAGCCTACTGCAAAAATGCTGCCAAACAGCGATGGTTTAAGTTTGATGATCATGAAGTCTCGGACATCTCTGCATCCTCTGTGAAATCCTCAGCTGCTTATATCCTCCTTTACACTTCTTTTGAACAGCGAACCGCCGATATAGCCACATAAAGAAACATTTGAAGAATATTCGTGTCTTTTTTGTAAATGCATCCTATAAGCTGAGCTGTGATGAGTAAAAGGTCCGTTGCTGAAGAAGATGATGTTTGCAGCGGTTTCTCAGCTGAGGTGTCTGTTAGTGCTATTGCTTAGTCCAAAAATTGTTAACTCTGCCGTTTAATAATATGGAACAATTAGTTTTGAAACCACTTATTTTTAGTAATGCTCCAAAATGATAAATCTAGCTTAGCCCTTTTTAAAAGTCATTAATATATGGGTTTAAAATGCCCCTGAACCCAACAATATCTTTTTTGTCTCCCACATTTATGCCTTTTCACACTAACCTTAAGCTACTGTGAATATCTTAGAATGATGTAAACAGGAGAATGTATGTGTACATATTGATTGCAGACTTGCACATGCAAAGTATGTATATAATAAAGGTATGTGGTCCTTTGAGAACCACTAGAACAGAAAAGGGGTTGCTTTTGTTTTGTCTAGAATATCTTCATTCTTACAGGTAAGAGCACAGCTGTATTTTTTTGTTTGAGCTATGGCATTGATATCTGCACACCCTAAAATGTATATATTACAGAATTGATATTTTCCTTTTTAATAACTTATTGAAGCAATTATTTGAAAATACAATGGCCTGTTAAATAACTTCTTTGCCTGTTTTGGACACTTGACAAGTTTGGATTTTCGGCTTTCCCTTACTCCTTGTGAAAATAATCCCATCTAGATGCCAAAGAGTGGTATTCTGATGGGAGGGCAGGCAATGTTGCCCTGCGTGAGCCTTACACTGGGTACAACTTGAGTGGATGAAGGCAGTCACTGCCTGCTGTCATTAGCTCTCCTCCTGACAGGGCCATAATTGGTCCAGCTTATTAATAATAACTTGTTTTGAGTGTCTGTGCCCCCTTTTAAGGCTTGTGGGTCTGTGTCCCTGGGTCTCAAAGGTCTGCTACATATATGCATATGTATATAACCCATTTAAAATTATATTTCATCTTGGATTCTGTAATAAGAATAAAAAAACAACACTCCTTTAGACTCTGGCTGCCCAGGAAGACTTTATTTATCTAGCGGTTTGTTGCTTTCTCCGAAAGCTTACTGAAAATGAGTCCGTGTCTGGCACCTGTCTTTTCGCTGAAGGGAGAAGCTGTTCACAATCCCATTTTTAAATACCACGTTACAGCCTGAACGCAGGCATTAGGAAATGTGGTTCCTCTTCCTTAAGGATGACTCGAAACCTGGCCGGCCCGGGTCAGGAAACGTTTGCTAACAGTACCACTGCATCCTATGTACGCGATGGTTTTCAGTGCGTTTCCTAGCCATTTTGGTTTTTTACCGGCACAGAGAAAGTTTGACTGCTGTAAAACAGCAGATAAGCTGCAGACGTTTGCACAGAAGGGTCTGGGATCTCGCTGATCTGAGAGTCGTCAAAGTTGTACCAGCTTTGGGTGGGAGGGTGTTTGCAGTACGCAGTGTAGTGGCCACCATCCAGATCTCCAAAATGGTTCTGCAACAATAATGGCAATAAATCAAAAGGTAACCAAAAGAGCATTTTGTTCATTCATTCCAAGGAGCTAAGCCTGGTAGGCAGGGTTTCATGACTCCCACCCCTTTCCCCCTGCAACCAGCACATTGAGAAATTGTAATCTGACTATGGTCACTTAGCAAGCAGGCCAGTATCAATTTCGACCTGAGTCTTGTGGGATGTAAACACAGGAGCAGTCAATGACAACATTCCTAGAGTGTACATGTTAGAACATGGTGGGGATGTCTGTCCAGCAAGCAGGTAAACTTCCTGGGGACGGACTTCCTCCACATGTGACTAGAGGTGGGTGTGGCCTCACCTGTGCAGGTGATGACAAAAAGCACAGGGCAGGCAGCCATCTCTCTCTCTCTGCCATTTTCCTTCGATGAGGAAACATCTAAGGATGCTCTCTTGGCTCCCAGCCAAGAGAGGAGATAAGGCCTATCTTGCTATAAGATAGATCCTAAATGTATGTAACCTTTTTAAGCTGTGCCTTCTGGGATCACATTGTGAACAGAACGTGAGTAAACTCTTTTATACTTTTATGAAGACTGTGTCGTGTCTTGTATTTTAAGAGGGAACTAAAGGGGAAATTACCAGGGTAATTATTATAGAGGTTCTAGCGAACCTGTGCACACGTTACCGTTGCGTACTAAAGGGGAATGTATGTAAACTCTGCTGATATTTTGGGAACTTGTTAGCACAAGTTGGATCAGGATATAATTAGTCAATATATCCTTTCCTGCACCCCAGAACATTCCCACAAAGGGTTAGTGGCCCCAGTATTGCATATTTCTGCGTATTTTTGAAGGATTGCATTGGATTGTGATTTTGAGTTGAGTAGTATTTTTCTGAGTTAACTTCCTGGTAAGCACATGGTCCTTTGTTCCATTGTGCAGTGGGGATTAAGCAACCCACCCCCTTCCCTCAGAGTTCACAGTGACCCAAGGCAGTGAAGAATTGTTTCGTATTTTGAGATTTTTGAGATTTTGATTTTAAAATTTTGAGAAATTTTGAAATTTTGAAGAATTTTCAAATTTTGGATTTTAAGATGGCTAGAGCAGCTTTTGATAGTGATGCAAAGCTAGGAATGCCTGTGCTGAATGAGTACAATTTCATGCACTGGAAGCAGCGCTTGATAGCATGTTTGGATTATAAGCACATTTTGGAAGCTTTAGAGCCTCAGCCTACAGGATCGTCTGAGGGAGATTTAGCCAAGATAAGTGCTTGGAAACGCATGAACAGCGAAGCTAGACACATAATTTTGAGTGGACTTCGTGATGAGCAGCTATCATTAATAAATAGCACAGATGATGCATCTCAAATCTTAAGAGATATTGAGCGCGTGTATGGAGAATCTAGCATAAACAGCTTCAGAAACTTGGTGTGTAAATTAACCAGATTGAGGATGAATTCAAAAGAGGAATTCACAGAGCACATCAACAAGTTTACTGAGATTATTCAAAGAATTGATCTGACTCCCAAAGCTTTTGATGAGGATACAAAGATAGCATTTTTGTTATCATCACTTGGACCACGCTTTGGTGCATTTGTAAGTTTGATGGAGCATAGACAAGGTCTGACATTTAAAGACTTGATTGGTTATTTAAAAGAAGAATGCAGAGATAGAGGTGAATCTCCAGTGAGAAATGCTAGAAGCAAGGACAGCAGTTATGCATCTAGGCAATGTACAAAGTCCAAAGAGATGCCTAAGAAAGTGATTTGCTTCAATTGTAACAAAGAAGGACACATTGCAAAGAACTGCAGGGCTCCTAAAGCAAATAAACCCCACCCCTTTCAGCCAAAAGGGGAAAAGAAGGGGAAATGTGAATGCACATGGTTACTGCAAGAAAGGAACTTAGCTGTCCAGAATCGTGAAAATAAACGTAATAAATGGATAATTGATTCAGGAGCGAGCTCGCATTTTTCATATAAAAAGGACTATTTTAATGAGATAAATGATGTAGAAGGATCTGAAATTGAGATTGCAGATGGCAACATTGTTAAAGCAAAAGGTGCAGGTTCCATGAGCCTGAAATGCAATATAAACAATGAATGCATTGAGAACACAATCTCTAGAGTTTTGTATGTTCCAGAGCTGAGTTGCAACTTAATCAGCGTGTCCACTTTGGACAAGAAAGGTTTCCAGGTCACATTTGGAAATGGAGAATGTAAAGTGACTAGAAATGGCAAAGTGTTTGCTCAAGCAAAGCTAATAAATGGTGTATATGAGCTTGATCTTTCAGAGAACCAGTCTGCAAAAGTGGCACATTCCAGCCAGAAGGATGAAGCAGATCTGGACTTATGGCACCGAAGGCTAGGACACAGAGACGCCAGCCTCATTCTGGATCTACAGAAAAGAAATCTTGTAAGAGGTTTGCAGGTAAAGCAGAGCAACAAAGCTCCAGCAAAGTGCATAAGCTGTATTACTGAGAAGGCTGTAAAACCTTCATTTCCACGTTGTGCAGAACAAAGAAGCAACAAAGTGCTTGACATAGTGCACACTGACATATGTGGACCCATGAATGTTCCCTCACTGGGAAAGAATAGATATATTTTAATATTTCTGGATGACTTTTCAAGATTTTGTGTTGTATATTTCCTCAAAGAGAAGAGTGAGACAGTGGACAAGCTCCAGGAATACATTGCCATGGTCAAGAACAAATTCCAGAGAGCTCCAGCTGTGTTAATGAGTGACAATGGAGGTGAGTACTGCTCAAATGAAGTGCAGACTCTCCTGGCCAGAGAAGGAATTGCACACGTAACCACAATTCCTTACACACCACAGCAGAATGCCATAGCTGAGAGAAAGTTTAGGTCCATTATGGACATGACAAGGTGCATGCTAAAGGATGCACGTTTGCCACACAAGCTGTGGGCGGAAGGAGTGTACACATCGGTCTATTTGCAGAATAGACTGCCAACTAAAGGTGCAGAGCGCACACCATTTGAACTTTGGCATGGGAAAGCTCCCAATCTGTCGCACATACGTGTGTTTGGAAGTCCGTGTTACTTCCACGTGCCCAAGGAACACAGACACAAGCTTGACTCCAGGGCAAAAGCAGGTATCCTTGTGGGATATGCTTCTGGAGGCAAAGGATACAGAATTATGGACTTACAAACTGGTAAGACAAATGCATACCATGCGGTTTATTTTGATGAATATGGAAAAGTAGACACTAAGAACACTGTTGTGGATTCTTCAGATGAGTCAGAAAGGACTCAAGAGTTTGTATATTTCCCTTTTGAGACCCCACAAAGTAATTATCTGCCTTCGAGTGTTACAGCGCCCCCTACAGGCGATGCACCAGAAGACGCAGAGGACCAGAACCCTGGCGGCACCAGAGACGAAGATGAGGACTCAGATGGGGACATGCCTGCGTTGGAGGAGGATGAGGAAGCTGATGCGGTCGCAGAACCAGAGGTCAGACGCTCATCCAGAACCAACAGAGGTGTCCCACCAGTACGGTTGTCCTACTTTGCAGGGTCGGCGTTTCCACAGGAACCTTCCACTTGGGAAAAGATACAGGAGATGCCAGCTGCAGAAGCCAGTCTCTGGAGGAAGGCCGCGCAGGAGGAGATGGATGCACTGCATCAGAACAAGACCTGGACACTCACTGAGCTGCCTCCCGGTAAGAAGGCCATTGGCAGTAAATGGGTTTTCAAGGTTAAGAAGGGGTCAGAAGGAGAAGTGCAGCGCTACAAAGCTAGACTTGTGGCACAGGGATTTTCACAGCGTTTTGGTGAAGACTACGATGAAGTTTTTGCACCAACTGTGAGGTACAGCAGCGTAAGAATGCTTTTAAGCATTGCAGCCTCCAAGAAAATGAGGGTGAAACACATTGACATTGCTACTGCTTTTCTACATGGGCAGATTTCAGAGGAAATTTACATGAAGCAGCCCAAGGGTTTTGTAAAACCACATGAGGCACATCTAGTGTGCAAGCTGCAGAAAGGACTTTATGGACTTAAACAGGCTGCTAGAGCCTGGAACCAGAAGTTGCATAAAATGCTGACGCAACTTGGGTACAAGCAAGGCGATGCTGACAAGTGCTTGTACAGTAAGTCAAATAATGGACAATTCTCATATATCCTAGCATTTGTTGATGACCTGATTATTGCCACAGCAAGTGAGAAAGACTATACACAGATAGTAAAACACCTTAGCAAGGAGGTGGAGGTCAAGGAGCTAGGAGATGTCCAGTATTACCTCGGGATTCAGGTGGAAAGAGAAGAGGACGGATCATTTCTTCTCAGCCAAAGACAGAAGATCCACGAGCTAGTTGAGCACATGCAGATGCAAGACGCACATCCAGTTGCTACACCGATGGCTACTGACTTCCTGAAGAATCAGCAGGATTCGAAGCAGTTGCCAGACAACAATGACTACAGGTCGGCGATTGGTAAACTTTTGTATTTAGTTACCACATGTAGACCTGACTTAGCTAATGCTGTGGGGATTCTTAGCAGAAAAGTGAATTCTCCCACTGAGCATGATTGGGCAGGTGTAAAGAGGGTGGTGCGATATTTGAAGGGTACCATGAACTGTAAATTAAGGTTACCAGCTGTCAGAGACCCTAAGTTGGTTGGGTATACTGACGCGGATTGGGCTGGGGATAATGCTGACTATAAATCAACGAGTGGTCATGTTTTTATGTTTGGTGATGGACCTGTCGCGTGGGGCAGTTATAAACAGAGCTGTGTAGCATTATCTTCCACAGAATCAGAATACGTTGCAGCAACAGAAGCCTGCAGAGAGATCGCCTGGCTTGATCAACTCATAAAGGACTTTGGGTTGGTGAGAAAAGGGCCTGTCAGCTTGCTAGAGGACAATCAGAGTTGCCTGAAGCTGACGCAGAGTGAGAAGTTCCTGGCCAGAACAAAACACATTGGGGTTAAATACCACTACATACGCCAGATGATCCAGGATGGACTTGTGGAACTATCCTACTGCAGCACCCAAGAAATGACTGCTGACATCCTGACGAAACCCCTACCAAGAGAGAGTTTCCAGAATCTACGTGTCAAGCTGGGACTCTGGGTGGTTGAATAAAGTTGTTTATATTTTGTATATGTTGTATTGCCTGAGAAGGGGTATGTGGGATGTAAACACAGGAGCAGTCAATGACAACATTCCTAGAGTGTACATGTTAGAACATGGTGGGGATGTCTGTCCAGCAAGCAGGTAAACTTCCTGGGGACGGACTTCCTCCACATGTGACTAGAGGTGGGTGTGGCCTCACCTGTGCAGGTGATGACAAAAAGCACAGGGCAGGCAGCCATCTCTCTCTCTCTGCCATTTTCCTTCGATGAGGAAACATCTAAGGATGCTCTCTTGGCTCCCAGCCAAGAGAGGAGATAAGGCCTATCTTGCTATAAGATGGATCCTAAATGTATGTAACCTTTTTAAGCTGTGCCTTCTGGGATCACATTGTGAACAGAACGTGAGTAAACTCTTTTATACTTTTATGAAGACTGTGTCGTGTCTTGTATTTTAAGAGGGAACTAAAGGGGAAATTACCAGGGTAATTATTATAGAGGTTCTAGCGAACCTGTGCACACGTTACCGTTGCGTACTAAAGGGGAATGTATGTAAACTCTGCTGATATTTTGGGAACTTGTTAGCACAAGTTGGATCAGGATATAATTAGTCAATATATCCTTTCCTGCACCCCAGAACATTCCCACAAGTCTCCCTGATCATAGACTAGAGCGTGAGATGTGTTTTGAAGAGCCCAAAGCTCCCCGTTTCCCAGACAGTGTCATCACCTTCCTATCCCTCTCACCTTTTCTTACCATATCACTCTCCAGCTTTCAATTTCATTGTTCTGCATGGGACAATGACAATAAAGATATCGTATATCGATATATTGATGCTTTTGCTGGAGGAGACTCTTGAGAGTCCCATGGACTGCAAGAAGATCAAACCTATCCATTCTGAAGGAAATCAGCCCTGAGTGCTCACTGGAAGGACAGATCGTGAAGCTGAGGCTCCAATACTTGAGAAGAGGTGGCCTGGAAAGACCCTGATGTTGGGAAAGACCCTGGGAAAGACCCTGATGTTGGGAAAGATGGAGGGCACAAGGAGAAGGGGATGACAGAGGACGAGATTGTTGGACATTGTTCGCGAAGCTACAAATATGAATCTGACCAAACTGCGGGAAGCAGTGGAAGACAGGAGTGCCTGGCGTGCTCTGGTCCATGGGGTCATGAAGAGTCGGACATGACTAAACGACTAAACAACAACAACAATATTGTATATCGTATATCGATGTGATTCAGGAGTGTGTTGGACCAACAGACTTATATGCACTAGAATAAATAGTCTTCTATGTCACTTACCACCACAGCAAATAAGCTGTATTTTGGGTTTTTCCGAAAGAGTGGATATATGTAAGAGGACAAATCCAGGTTATTTAACGGATAGTAGATGTCAGTTTTCAGTTTCTTTTTATAACTGCCTTGACAGTCAAACCTGAAAATAAATGATCATAATCAGAAATCACTTTCAAATAGTTTACCCAATCTATTTGGCAAATTATTCCCCCTTTTCCCATCTTAAGCAACCGTTTCTTTGTGACCTGCACCACAGCCACCTGGAGAGCACATGAGATGCTGTAAATAAAAAGAACGGTACCTCTTTAGATGGAAGATAACTATTTTTGGCGCCTTCGCTATGCTGGCTCTCACAGCAGCATCTGTCTTTATCCCACAGCAGGAGCAGTTAATTTGGTTGTTCCAAGTCAAGATGTCTTGCTGAAAGAAGCATTCAAGGCATTCCTGGGCCCCCAAAAAGTGGGGATTTGGGGGGGGAAGAGGTGGAATTATTAGTCAACATGTCAAACCACTATAACTAACTTAACTGCAGACTTGTGCTTCTTCATAATTGCTGAAAAGCTGGAATCCTTCCATCGACTCTGCCAAAAGACTAGCTCCATTAGGCTCTGTCACATAGCAATAGCCATTCCATCAGGCTGCTTCAATAGGAGAGGTGGAAAGCTAGTTTCCTTCCACCAACTTGCATCACAAGCCAAGCTCAATCAGGCACCTCCTTGCCCTGAGCTATTCCTATGCCACCTGGTCGTTACAAGATCTACCACTGAAGATTTGGTGCCTTCTCCCCCACCGTCCCCTCCCTGTCCCTTTCCGCTTGTGCATCATGTTTTTCAGATTGCTGGTCAGCAGGCAGGGACTGTCTTGTGTTAATGGATTGTTTGTGAGTCACTCTTGCTGAAGAGAGGCGTACAAATTATCTAACTTGTGGGGGTTAGCTCCCCAAAGGTTTGTCTTTGTGTAGCTGCAGAGCTAGCTATTCAACACTACAACCCATCACTGCAGTGAGAGAGACCTTATACCTGCGATCAACATCTCAGGACAAGCATGACCCATAGTCCTGTTCCCGTTTACCATGTAAGAACGCATAGGAAGAACACATAGGAACATAGCTGTCAAGTGTCCCTTATTTGAAGGGACAGTCCCTTATTCCAGGGCCATGTCCCGCTGCTGTCCCTTATTGATGGATGTCCCTTAAATGATGTCCCTTAAATTTCAAAGGAAGCAGCTCCTCTCCCTCCCTGCCGGCCAGGGAGGAGGGAGGCTCCAACTGTGTTGCTTGGCTGTGTTGCTCACCCAATAAGAAGTCTAAGAACGACTGGGGGGTGGAGCTTGCATGCCTTGTGTGTGGCTAGTTAATGCAAGCTGAGGGGTTTTTGAATGCTGGATGCCATTTTGTTGCACGTGCTGCTGCAAACTTTGCAGTGCAAAGCCAGGCCGGGGAGCCATCTTAAGTTGAGGCGGCATAGGCCTTGTGGTGCATGTGATTCAGATTCTATTCAGTTGAACCTCTGGTTACAAAGTTGGTTGGACAGTGTTCTTGGAGCTACCAGCATGAGTTTGACCAGACTGCAGGAGGACAGGAAGACTGGAGTGCCTGGAACAGGTGAGGCTGCAGGTCCCTAATTTTGGCTGCTGGTCCCTTATTTTCAAATCTGTAAGTTGACAGCTATGCATAGGAAACTGCCTTATACAGTCATACCTCGGGTTACAGACGCTTCAGGTTGCTTTTTTTGGGTTACGGAAGCACCAAAACCCAGAAGTACCGGAACGGGTTACTTCCGGGTTTCGGCAGTCGTGCATGTGCAGAAGCGCTAAATTGTGCTTTGCGCATGCGCAGAAGCACCGAATTGCAACCTGCATGTGCACAGATGTGGCGCTGCGGGTTGCGAACGTACCTCCCGCATGGATCATATTCGCAACTCAAACGTCCACTGTACTGAGTCAGACCATTGGTACATTGTCTACACCAAAGTTTCCCAAGATTTGGGTCTCCAGCTGTTTTTTTGGACTACAATTCCCATCATTCCTGACCACTGGTCGTGCTAGGTAGGGATGACAGGAGTTGTAGTCCCCAAACAGCTGAAGACCCAAGTCTGGGAAACCCTGGTCTACACTAACCAGCAGCATCTCTCCAGGATTTCAACCCTACCTGCAGATGCCCAGGATTGAATCTGGGACCTTCTGCTTGCAAGGCAGATAGATTCTCTACACTATGGAACGATGGGCTTGCATTCTGACAGGTGGGGGTTGGCTGTTTCCAGCCCTGCAGGCAAGTTGCCTGAAGAGGGTTAAAATCAACATTGCAACAACAATTTAAGCCAGGCTTGAGCTCTGGCAGCTTTGTTCAGCAGGGAGAAGCTAATACCTCTAGCGAGCATTCAGTTTCGTAAGGGATGGGAAGAGATAATACGGTGAAGATCTCGTTTTTGTAGGTCGTCGTTTGGCATTCCAAACACATGATGTCATAACTGAGATGTCCTTCAAAAAGCCGGGTGATTATGGAGGACTCGCCGACGCAGCCCCTGGATTCCCAAACAGACGATGAGGTCCCCTGGTTTCTTCTCCTACTTGTCTGCAAGGGAAGAGATGTGCCGGGTCACAGACGATATTTCCACCCTCCCGCTTGCTATTGTAACTAAAAGTCTTCTTCAAAATCATCCTCGGTCACAGCAAGAAATTGCCATTAAAAGCATAACAATCCCATTCGGATTCCGTATCAGAGTCTCAGGGCTAGGCCTCGATTGCTTTATTTCAGGGTTTTTTAATGATGGCTCAGATTTTCCCCCATATGCATTAAAAACAAGTGCTTGGCTGCCAGTAATTACTCCCTCCAATCTCCTCTACCATTTCCTATATGCAAATTCTCCACTATAAATTTGCTCATTGAAGTCTCAGCTGGAACGGAATGATTTATTGCTAAGCTTCTGGCTGCATCACAAAATAATGTTAAGTATAGATTCCTGTATTGTTTTTCCTCTTTAAGGGAAGGAAATTATTTGGCATTGCATAAGGAGGCCATAGGAGCCTGGGCTATGGGGTGGTCCCTCCCAACATTTAATTCCTGGCTCTTGACAGATTATGACTTTGCTACTCTTTTTAATTGATTATAATTTAATAAAAAAAATTGGAATTGTTGAGAGTGAAGAGCCAGTGTGGCGTAAATAAAATAAACTATTGACTATTGCTTTATTCAGTAGTAGGTGCTTATTTTAAGTCTTTTTTTTATTATGACTTATATTGGATCAGATTGTTATAAGATGTGTGATCTTCGTTGTATTTCTGTTGTTTCTTCAGCTTGTGTGTATAGGCAGTACGGGTTAACTCGCAAGTTACGTGCATTCAACTTGTGTGCATTCAGCTTTATGCCCTTGGCAAAAAAAATATTAAAAATGGGGTGGAGAAAAAATACTTTGGCAATCCCACCCACCACTGAACCTAATGTGTTTTGACTATACACAATTTTGGCTTTACACACTATCCCCAAAATGCAACCCCAGTGTAATCTGAGAGTCAGATGTATACAAATTAAAAGTGCAATGAACTGAAAAATTGTTATGTCCACAAACCAGGCTTGCAATCCAAGGATTGAATGTGGATTTATAATCATATTCATCTAGTTCAGAGGAAACAGGCAAACTCTGGGTTGAAAAAAACACTCAGTAAATATGGAAATTGTGGTGCATGAGGGGAAAAGGAGTGCACAAGCTCAGGGCTCCTTAGACCTCATCCAAATCATCCCAGGTCATAGTTTACCTAGTGAAACATTCACACACGCTTACATAACACTTGACTAAGAGCATTTAGCGTCTCATAGCTGTTACACTGAAAAGGATGATATTGGAGGGGGTGATTGGCAGACAAGCACACAGCATTTGTGAACCAGCTCTAAAGGAAGTACAAGACAAACTGCTGAAATCAAAAATATTATTCCCACCGTCTTAATCTGACTGTGGAACTCATTGCCACAAGGTGTTGCAAAAGATGAGAATTCAGTGGACAGCTAGAGTGGAAAGTTATAAAGACAGAGAGGAATTCAACATAGCACTCTGGCAATTGTTCTGTCGGTGCAAGCTTTTCACATTGCCAGGTGGAACGATCTCCTTTCCCCCATGTGATGTTTTGGGGATTTTCCTGACCCGCCAGAGCCGATTTTAAGGGGTGCAAGTGGAGGGAAAGGGGGGAAGCCCTAGTCTGCTTGTGGGAGTCCTTGCACAGGCTTTGGTGCTAGTGGGGCTGGTTAATTGAATTCCACTCCATGACTCACCTTCTTGAGAGCTTCATGCAGCTCATTCAAGACATAAATCAGAAACTCCTGGGCATCCTGCTGCGTCTTCTTGATGAAAGCTGGATATCGCTCACCAATGACCAATCGGAAGACCTCTGGGGACACGCAGTCAAAGTCCCCCAGCCACATATCATTCATCAAATAAGCAAAAGCAGTCGCTATCTCTCCATCCTCCCTTAAGAGATTAACAGGGCAGGGCAGGATAATTTTGAACAAGATAATCATCCATCATGATTAACACTGGAAAAAAAGCACGATCCCCAATGGCTCCTAGAATTCTGTGGGCAACCCAACGGCTCAAAGCATCTTAGCAAAAACATGTACACCTCACTTGCTACACTGAGTAAAGTTTGAAGTCTATGCAGCCTTTGCCTTTGGGTAGTAGCTCCCCATGATAAGCCTCCGTCTATTGTTTGCTAGATTGGGAAAATGTCTTTTTCATTATTGCTTTTAAGCTGTGCAAAGCTTTCTTTTGCTCTGCCCCTCCCCTTTTTGACCTATCAAAGCCCAAGCTTAAAAGTAAACATAACCTACAATGAGAGATTTGCAGGTAGAAAACCAGCAAGGATACAGTCTCTGGTGCAGAATGTCATGTGTACAACTATCTGCCTGCTGGATAAAAGTTGTGGGTATGTGCTTGGAGCTCTTCCTGAGGGAAGTGGCGGGACAAATGGAAGCACAGATGAGCCTTCAGAGAAGTATCAAAGACATTTGGAGGAGAGACACCATGCGTACAAACGTGAGCAGAGGAGGGCAACCAAGATGATCAAGGGTCTGGAAACCAAGCCTTTTGAGGAATGGTTGAAGGAATTTGGTATGTTTAGCCTGTGAAAGAGGAGACTGAGAGGAGATAGGATAGCTATCTTCAAATTATGGGATGTAAGAATCAGGTGCAGTCAAACACAACATTGCTGGGGGCACTGTTATACAGTGGTTCCGCTCCTTCCTCCTGGGCCGTGTTCAGAAAGTGGTGGGGGGGATGAGTGTTCAGACCCCTGGGCTCTCACTTGTGGGGTGCCTCAGGGTTCTGTCCTCTCCCCCATGCTTTTCAACATCTACATGCAGCCGCTGGGAGAGATCATCAGGGGGGTTGGACTGGGTGTCCATCAATATGCAGATGATACCCAGCTCTACCTCTCTTTCAAATCAGAACCAGTGAAGGCAGTGAAGGCCCTGTGTGAGTGCCTGGAGGTGGTTGGAGGATGGATGGCAGCTAATGGATTGAGCTTGAATCCTGACAAGACAGAAGTACTGTTTTTGGGGGACAGGGGGCGGGCTGGTGTGGAGGACTCCCTGGTCCTCAATGGGGTAACTGTGCCCCTGAAGGACCAGGTGCACAGCCTGGGAGTCATTTTGGACTCACAGCTGTCCATAGAGGCGCAGGTCAATTCTGTATCCAGGGCAGCTGTCTACCAGCTCTACCTGCTACGCAGGCTGAGACCCTACCTGCCCCCGGACTGTCTCGCAAGAGTGGTGCATGATCTAGTTATCTCCCGCTTGGACTATTGCAATGCACTCTACCTTTGAAGGTGACCCGGAAACTACAACTAATCCAGAATGCGGCAGCTAGACTGGTGACTGGGGGCGGCTGCCGAGACCACATAACACCGGTCTTGAAAGACCTACATTGGCTCCCAGTATGTTTCTGAGCACAATTCAAAGTGTTGGTGTTGACCTTTAAAGCCCTAAACGGCCTTGGCCCAGTATACCTGAAGGAGCATCTCCACCCCCATCGTTCAGCCCGGACACTGCCAGTGCCAAGGGCCTTCTGGCGGTTCCCTCATTGTGAGAAGCAAAGCTACAGGGAACCAGGCAGAGGGCCTTCTCAGTAGTGGCGCCCGCTCTGTGGAACGCCCTCCCATCAGATGTCAAAGAGATAAACAACTACCTGACATTCAGAAGACATCTTAAGGCAGCCCTGTTCAGAGAAGTTTTTAATGTGTGACATCTTAGTGTATTTTTTGTTTTTGTGGAAGCCGCCCAGAGTGGCTGGGGAAACCCAGCCAGATGGGCAGGGTACAGATAATAAAATTATTATTATTATTATTATTATTATTATTATTATTATTATTATTATTATTATTAATTATTATTATTATTATATCTACTACTATTGCTAGAGTAGACATGAAGGTTATCTCAGTCCTCCAGCCAGAACTTCCTGCTTTCCAGGACTGAGACAAAACTTCCTATGTGTAACTTGAGATGGGCATGGCCTCTCCTGAAGTAGAAAGAACCAGAACCACAGGCTGGCTACCATCTTATCTCTCTTGCCTCTATTGATGCCATCTTAACAGCAGCACTACTAAGATGCACCCTTGGCTCCAGGCCAAGAGAAGAAAAGGGGGGCTTTCTCCCATAAGGAGATAGTCACCACATTTAAACTATGTTCTAACCTTTTAAGTCTGCCTTCTGGGAACCTTTTGTGTGAACAGATGATTACTTGTGAATCAACATTTTATACTTTACAGAAAACTGTGTAGCGTCTTATTTTAGGAGGGATTAAACGGGGAAAATACCAGGAAATATTTACAGACTCTAACGAGTCTGAGGAAGCTATCTGCTGTGTGTATGTTTAAAAAAAGGGGGAATGATAACTCTGCTGATTTTGTTGAACTTGTAAAGACAAGTTGGGATAGGATATCTTAGACAATATATCCTCCCCTGCATCCCTAACCATTCCCACACAAATATCTCAAGGGCTGTCACACGGAAGAGGGAACAAGCTTGTTTTCTCCTGCTCTGGAGGGTGGGACTCGAACCAATGGATTCAAGTTACAAGAAAGGAGATTCTGATGAAACATCAGGAAGAGCTGTTTGAAAGTGGAACGGACTCCCTCAGGAGGTTGTAGACAGACTCTCCTTCCTTGGAGGTTTATAAGCAGAGGTTGGATGGCCGTCTGTCATGGATGCTTTAGCTGAGATTCCTGCATTGCAGGGGGGTTGGGACTTGGTGAGCCTTGGGGTCCCTTCAAACTCTACAGTTTTATGTTATACCAACAGCAGAAGCTTCTGAGCCAAAATAGGTGAGCTGGGGTGCTTGTTCTTAGGAGGAGAGGGTAGGTCTAGAATGCATAACAGAAACCTGGTGAAATGGGAGGAGTCATTGGGGCATGGTTACTTTCGCACATAAACTCTATAGGACAGGGAAGGGTGGTGTCACTCTGTATATCAGTGAGGACTTAGGACATGGGTAGGCAAACTAAGGCCTGGAGGCCAGATCCAGCCCAATCACCTTCTCCATCTGCCAAGCAGATGGTCCAGGAATCAGCGTGTTTTTACATGAGTAGAATGTTTGCTTTTATTTAAAATGCATCTCTCGGTTATTTGTGGGGCATAGGAATTCGTTCATTCCCACCCCCAAAAAATATAGTCTGGCCACCCACATGGTCTGAGGGACAGTGGACTAACCCCCTGCTGAAAAGGTTTGCTGACTCCTGACTTAGGATTCCAACAAGCTAGAAATCCTCCAAGGGCAAGGCTCCTCCACAGAGCAGCCCCCAATTAATACTTCAGTGCTGGGGACATACTCTTGTCCCCACTGACTAAAACGCCCAGGCCGATACAGAGATAAAGTACGGAATCAATGAGGCATCTCTAGGAGGAAGTGCTGTAGCGATGGGTTTCCCCCTAATCCCCAGAGTGGAAGTGGGTCAGAAAGGAGGGTGCTCTCCGGGGACACCTTGCTAACAAGCCCTTCAATCCCGGAGCCCGTCCAGGCTCTGATCTTCGGACAACCAAAATTAAGCAGAGCAAGGCCATTAACTTACTTGTTTAGCGATGCTGTATACCTTCCAGAGAGGAAATATTCCACCAGCGGGGAAACACTGCAGAGGCACTGTATGACAGCATTCATGTAGCAGGTGTTGCCCAAGTTCCGCAGACCAGTTAGTCCTTGGTATTGGGGGTTTGTCTCGTCGTCGGATCTGTCCATTGCCTCGTCCGAACTCTCCAAGGGAAGGGCACCCTTGCTGTATTCCCAAAGCCAAACTATAGTCAAACAAGTCTCGTTCACATTGCGACGAAAGCAAAGACTTTACATTTATCAAGTGCATTCAGACATTGCTTTCCATATATACCCGACTATGTCTCTGTGCTGTACATTGTCTCCCTGTTAATTTAACTTATACAGTGGTACCTCAGGTTAAGTACTTAATTCGTTCCAGAGGTCCGTTCTTAACCTGAAACTGTTCTTAACCTGAAGCACCACTTTAGCTAATGGGGCCTCCTCCTACTGCTGCGCCGCCGGAGCACGATTTCTGTTCTCATCCTGAAGCAAAGTTCTTAACCCGAGGTACTATTTCTGGATTAGCAGAGTCTGTAACCTGAAGCGTATGTAACCTGAAGCGTATGTAACCCGAGGTACCACTGTATGCAGAATTCATCATGCGAAAGGCTGGAGGGTAAAATGTAGTCTGAAGCTCAACATCAAAAAAACTAAGATCATGGTCACTGGTCCCATCACCTCCTGGCAAATAGAAGGGGAAGAAATGGAGGCAGTGAAAGATTTTACTTTCTTCGGCTCCATGATCACTGCAGATGGTGACAGCAGTCACAAAATTAAAAGATGCCATCTTTTGGGAGAAAAGCTATGACAAACCTAGACAGCATCTTAAAAAGCAGAGACATCACCTTGCCAACAAAGGTCCGTATAGTTAAAGCTATGGTTTTCCCAGTAGTGATGTATGGAAGTGAGAGCTGGACCATAAAGAAGGCTGATCGCCGAAGAATTGATGCTTTTGAGTTATGGTGCTGGAGGAGACTCTTGAGAGTCCCATGGACCGCAAGAAGATCAAACCTACCCATTCTGAAGGAAATCAGCCCTGAGTGCTCACTGGAAGGACAGATCCTGAAGCTGAGGCTACAATACTTTGGCCACCTCATGAGAAGAGATGACTCCCTGGAAAAGACCCTGATGTTGGGAAAGATGGAGGGGACAAGGAGAGGGGGACAGCAGAGGACGAGATGGTTGGATAGCGTTCTCAAAGCTAGCAGCATGAGTTTGACCAAACTGCGGGAGGCAGTGGAAGACAGGAGTGCCTGGCGTGCTCTGGTCCATGTGGTCATGAAGAGTCGGACACAACTAAACGACTAAACAACAACAACAACTGTTTGGTCAGATTGTACACCCTCTGGAATGGTGTCAGTTGTCAGGATATCCCTGAGTATATGCCCAGCAAAACACAAGAACATGATCTTCACAGACGATGCTCATTTTTGACGGACTGTTCAACTAGTAAAGCACTGGGTGGGGAAATTAGTTGGAAATAGGCTTGGTCCACATCCCAAAGGTCAATTTTAGAGTCTTTCCAGCACCATGAGGAAATATTTCATGTCCAAGCAAACTTTCTAGATAAGAAATAGGGGAACAATTTTCCTGCCTTCATGCTTATTTGCTGGTCGCAACACTCAGTTCTCCAAGGAACGGAGAAAATGCAGGGATTTCTCCCCAGTCACTAGATGGTAATTAATTAGCAATTGGTTTGTATAAAACAGAAACTCACAGTAGATGGTATATATTGAAGTTGTCAGGCATCTTTGTTGACCTAGAAGCCATTTGCAGGCTTGCAAGAAGACCAAGTGGTGCTCTCAATGGAGTTGGGTTGGCGGCCCTTCACCACCCCCTTTTCATTTTGACACTTGGATGGTTTGCTTCCTTGTGCAATCACCTTGCTTCATCTTACGCCTGTTCAGAGGACCCAAAATACATGGGCTTATCCTGATGACTCTTTGCACTGCTCCCCAGTGTTCCAAAACGGATTCTTCCAGCATCATAAATGCACGTTCACTCGTTGCTAGGGGATGGTGTTGGGGACTTTCCTAACAAGATAGAAGGGCCAAGCGGTTCTAGAACCATCAACTTCTTCAGAGAGGACTCTAGTCAGTTGCCTTCCAAGGATGAGTCAGCTCCTGCAGGATGCCTGGGCGACAGATTTTATTCATGAAGTTGTTTGGGGTTGTGAGATCCTTCTAATTCCTCATGATGCTCAGATTTGACAGCACAGGACCACAGCCAACCTCTCCCATAGCCAAGTTGGGTTTAGCTCAGGGTGGATAAAAATCAATGATTTTTTTAAAAAATAATAATAATAAAAATCAGATTTTTAAAATTTAAATCATTTTTTATTTAAATTGGATTTTTAAAATAAAATGCTTTTGGAGGAAGAATCTTTCTAAAGATAGTTTTCTATTTAAGTTATTTAAGTTATAGTCCAAAGGCTATTCAACAGGAAATAAGGATTTGTTTTTAAGTTTTTCATGTGTGCTAAAATTCAGTCTAAGCTTCTTATTTTTTTCATGTTTAACCACACCAGTTAACAAGCATGGATACATATGCTATAATGTTGTTGTTTTAGTTAAATAAATTGTTTAAATTGTTATTAAGGAAATTATTGTTTCTCTACTTCTAATAAAGTGTAGCAGAAACGTCCTCCAAATAAAAACAGTTAACTTATTAAACCTCACAATAATTTCATAATTATCTATGTATTTCTAACAGTATAACCAAATCAGTAATTTTTAATATAACTGTAAAAACTACTCTGAAAATTTATTATTCCAAAAATGAAATCTGCATCTGGTTCTAAATATTAAGATTATACCAGCAAGAATGAGTCTTTCTGTTAAAAAATTGATTGAAATCAAGTCTTACTTACAGGTGATTTAAATTGATTTGATTGAAATTATATCCACCCTGGTCTAGATTCCTGGCTTGGTGTAACCTCTCTTCCTAGACAGTTATTTCTTCCTTGAATTCACTTTTATGCAGGAATGCAGGCATCTAACAGACCTCAAGAGATACCTGCAAGCCACTCTCCCAAGTTCCTTGATGAGCAGAAACAGGTTTTTCCAACTGACCAGACAATTAACAGCCTACCTTTTCCCTGTGCCTTTAAGAGCAGATTGATCAACAATTATCAGGTGCAGTATGGAGATCAGCAGGAGCAAATCTGAAGGCTGTTAAAGGCAGAGGAGCAGGTTAAAAACAGGCAAACAAAAACTATATACCCTTGAACTCATTATTCCCACCCTACAAAGAGATCCAATAGGTAATATATGCAGATGTTCAAGGAAGACACAAGAACAAGAACCGGTTTAAAGTTGAAAACTCTAAATCATCTGGTGAAATTTGTCACACCCAAGCTCAGTCTGTCTGCTTTGTTGCTTGACTGAATACTACAAATCACTCCTGGCCATTGGCTAGGTTGGCAGATGTTGATGGAAGCTGGGAGCCCAAAATCGGGGTGAGGGGCTGCAAACTAGGACCCCTCACTAGTTTAAACGTTTACCTCTTTATTATATGCTGGAAGAGAAACTAATCTGGAATGGAAAACAAACAATAAAGCAGACTTCCTCAACCTTGGCCCTCCAGATGTTTTTGGCCTACAACTCCTATAATCCCTAGCTAGCAGGACCAGTGGTCAGGGATGATGGGAATTGTAGTCTCAAAACATCTAGAGGGCCGAGGTTGAGGAAGCCTGCAATAGAGAAACAGAAGTATTACAGTTGAGGAGATCCAGAGTTTTGATGCTCAAAAGGGAGGGGTCTCTTTAAAAATTGAAACGGGGAGGAAAAGCAAGAAAAGAATAGGCTGAGATAACATTTATGGGAATGTAGAACATCAAAATTACAATAAAACAAAATGACATCTACGCCATATCCTTTCTATCTTTTTTGTAGGCATAGTCTTCTTTGGCTAAACCATAGTAGTTGTGAATGGAATTGCAACCATATGCTCATTTAGGATTAAGCTCCGCTGCAGATCAAGCAGTTGGCTAAGCCCAAGAACACAGATGACAAAAATATAGGCAGAAAGATATTGTGTCTTTGAAAAGAAGTCCATGAAAGAAAGTTAAAAGAATCACAATAATAAATGACTGAGAAAAAGAACAGCACCAATATCTGGCAAGCTCCCCTCCCAGGTCATAAATTCCAGAGTGCACTGAAGGTGCTTTGAAGAGAAGATTATTTTGGTAGAGTATTGGTTACATTATCATAGAAACGTAGTTGGGACCCCGAGGCTCACCAAGTCCCAACCCCCTGCAATGCAGGAATCTCAGTTAAAGCATCCATGACAGATGGCCATCCAAATTCTGCTTATAAGCCTCCAAGGAAGGAGAGTCCACAACCTCCCGAGGGAGACCGTTCCACTTTCAAACAGCTCTTACTGTCAGAACGTTCTTGCTGATGTTTCAGAATCTCCTTTCTTGTAACTTGAATCCATTTGTTTGAGCCCCACCCTCCAGAGCAGGAGAAAACAAGCTTGTTCCCTCTTCCATGTGACAGCCCTTGAGATATGTGAAGATAGCGATCCTATCTCCTCTCTGTCTCTTCTTTCCCAGGCTAAACATACCAAATTCCTTCAACAATTCATCATACAGCTTGGTTTCCAGATCCTGATCATCATGGCTGCCCTCCTCTTCACACATTCCAGCTTGTCAATAGTTCAATGCTTCTGAAGCCCGGACCAGATATGAGCTTCTGGTACATCTGCGAGGCTAACCCAAGTCATTTTGCTGTCTAACAAAAGTTACACAGTAGTAATAAGACCTGATGACTCACTAACCTCCACCTGATTCTCAAAGTAGCCCCAGCTGGCTAGTCACACTACTTGCACATTACTTACTAAAATATACTTCTATTGGTGGGCCATTCTTGCAGTCCAAATTATTCTCAAATCAACAGATTAGTTTTTACCTGTTCCTTTCCGCCCTCTGACCCTCCCTCCCCGGATCAATCAAATCAAATAAAGGTAGAAGCTCACCAGTCTAAACAAGAATAAATTTATTTGGGATTGTTTAAAGATTTATTGATATACAAAATGTATACAGTTTTTTATCTTTAATACGCTATACCTTTCCTCCCCCAGCAACATAAACCACCATTTAAACAGCTATTGTGTTCGTGCCTTAATGTCTGTATCTATAAGATACACTACAGAATTTTAAAAAAGAATAATTACTGGGCGTTATGATGCCGTTCAATTAAAATTTACAATTAGTACCTATGTAACAAACAAACAAAAGTTGCAGCATGAAAATTCAGTTGGACAACAGGTTCTTCTTGTTGAATATTCAACAAATTTGGGACAGGAAAATGACATTTTATTGGCATAAAGTTTGCATTGCAATCTCCCACACATTACATAATGTAAATTCATCCTAGTTCCTTTTCTTTTAAATAAGTACCATATATAATATTACATTAAAAGGTGTCTTCACACAATATTAAATACAACTATGGGGCTGCTCCTTACGTCCCTGCGGTGGTGTGGAGCCCACAACAGGCCTGGTCCTTACAGCACCGCAAAAGCTGAGGTTGGAAAGAACTGGTCCCAGGGGACAAGTCCACTCTGCAGCTCACTTCTACGCCCGCGTTGCTCCCGCCGGAAACCGAGGCAGCGCTGGCAAGACAAGCAGCCCCAACCAGGACTCTTGCCCCATGGCCCAGAGCTTCCAAAGTTACCCAAATGGCGTGAGAAGGTACCAGACTTGCAGCAGCTCCAACACTGCTGTGATAACATCGGAAGAGGCCCCCAAAGGTTGACACATACATTCAACTTTCTTTTACTGGTTTTAGGAGATCTTTGGAAGGCAACACTTCTGAAGCGGCCATTATATGTAACAAGTAATAGCAACTTCCCTAACGCACCTGCTCATTTTACAAGGCAGCGTCTTACCCAAGACCAGCTGTTTTGTTCTGTTATGCAAATGTGATCAGACTTGTCTTGCGACTTTACTACTATTGGACAGTGATTAGATAAAACTGAAATGTATCGTTAAAAAAAAAAAAAACCAACGACACAGGAGGGGGAGGGATTTCACTATGCGCAATCCATCCCACCCATCCCGAGAGAACTGGCTCCACACTTGAGGATGAATCCTGATGCAGGAGACAAGCCATCACTTCTTGTTTGGAACCAGGCGTTCCTGCTCCCTGCAGCTCAGCTTACTGGCGTTAACTAAATATGGACAGATCCTTAGGAGCAGCCTCGTTCCATTGAGCCACATAAAACAAACATGGCACTGAGCAGAGAGAGCAATTATCTGAGACACCCTGAGAAGTGTCCAAAGAATCCTTCGGTGTCTGTGGGAAGGTGGGGGGGCGGGTGCTCCCTCCCGTTTCTCTAGCCAGATGACAGAAACCAGCTGCCACAAAGCCCCCAAACCATCTGCCTTAAAAACCATCAGCACAAAAAGAAAAAACATCATTTGGTCAAGGGCATATTGCACTACAGGATGAAGGGGAGGAAAGGCCCCCTCTCATGGACCAAGGTAAAATGTTAAGTTATCCTTCTGCTAAAACGCCTCTTTAAAAAGCTATTTCATAAATACTTAATTTCATTCAACCTTTTCTTTTTTTTAAAAAAAAAAGAACAGCAGCTGCCAGCTACTCCTTCAGAAGTGATTCCCACATTATGCTAGGCCACTCAACGGTGGACAGTTAACTGTACCAGAGCCATCAAAACAGTTTGGTCCTTTTTCATGCGGCCTTTGTTTCGATGAAGGGCAAACGAACCCCGTGACTTCTGCGAGGGTTTGGTTAGAGCCAGAGAGCTGTGCGTATCTTTACAGCATGAGGTGACTGGAACTGGCAGAGTCCGATTCTTTGGTGCAGCTCCCAGGCCGAATGGTCAGTTCTGGAGAATCATCTTGAGGCAGTAGGATTTTATCGGGTGTGTAGTCGTTTCTCTTCAAGTCTACGAGGAAACAACCATCCCCCGAAATCCCACAGATACAGTTGGGTTGAAGAGGGGGAGAGGGAGATGGAGAGGGAGAGAGAATATGCAAATTAGCAGCCTTACTTCTGATTCAAATTAGAGCTGCTCTCTAAAATAAGGAGAGAAGGCGAATTAATGTCCTGCCAGAGCTATGCAGGTATGGTAGGCCTTCAGGTTCTTCCCAGTGCAGAACTCTGAGCTTTGAAGACTGGCCCACAGTTGCCCAGTGGGCATTATTGGGTGGTGGAGGCAAGGTATCTGATATCAAAGGATGTGCAGGTAGGGTGTCTCACAGACAGACTTGCCCTTATGATGCTG